CTCAAAGCTTCCTCCACAGCCACAGTCAAGTCAGGGTGGGACGGGCACAAGGACAAACATCGAACAGCAGCAGAGAAACACCAGAAATCAACACATTTAAGGACAACTGATTTTTGAGAATTCCGTAAAAGCAACAATTTTAATCCAATTTGTTGGAACAGGAGGGTCTCCATAAGCAAGAGGAGCAGCGGTCTGAGAGACAGCACAGGGGAAGGCGCTGGTCTTGCACGCAGCCAATCTGGGTTCTAGCCCCAGCACCACATATGGTCCCCGAGCAAGCGCAGGAGTGATCCTTGAGCACAGAACCAGGAGTAAACCTTGAGCACTGCTGGGTGTGGCCCAACTCCCATCTCTCCCCAAAAGGAAGAAAATGGACGCTTCCAGGAATCACTAAAATGCCAGCGTGAGTGTCACCATCACAAAAGAGGCAGAAATGAGTGTCAAGTTCAAAGGGCAAACACTGAACTTACTCTGAAGGCGCCCTCCGACTCCATGGAGAGAAGGTCCCCGTCGAAGGGAATGAGGTCCAGGCTGTACTCCTCCCTATGGATGAAGGAGCCCAGGACGCGCAGGTCCTTCAGCCGCTGCTCACACAGCAGGCTACGCCGGGGCACAAACAAAATGTGGAAATCTCTTGTGGGGCCACGTTTGTCTTCACTGCAAGAGAAGGACCGTGCGTTGGCCCGAGGCCCCGACGCGAGGACTGCTCCCTAGGGCCCCACCTGTGCCTGACACACAGTGGGCTCTAAAGAGACGCTTATGAGCTAACCGCCCACTACCGACTCGGCCCAAGTTTCGAGTTTTCCTGCTCTCTTGATGTGATGCTTTTTCTGGAAACCACTGACCTGTGCTCTGCCAAGGGGCAGTGCTGCTTTCTCTTGGGCCATTGATGGGACATGAAAACTCTCAGGGTTGGGGCTGGAGCAACAGCGCAGCGGGTAAGGCGTTTGCCTTGCATGCGGCCGAATCGGATTCGATTCCCAGTTCCCAGCATCCTATATGGTCCCCTGAGCACCACCGGGGGTAATTCCTGAGTACAGATCCAGGAGTAATCCTTGTGCATTGCCGGGTGTCACCCAAAAAGAGGAAAAAAAACCCAAAAACCTCTCAGGGTTATTGCAATGGACATCTGTTTCTTGCAGAAAAAAAAAATGTTTCTATTTAATCAAGCGATGTCTCTAGGAAAATAAAAAGTTGCTTCACACCGTGCCCGATCTTGCGCAAATACCCCGCATGCTTTTAAGTCCGTCCGTAGGGGCCACGTCGATCAAACGTAATGCAGACTGGGCTGGTGCACTTCCTCCATAGATGCTGCAGCATTAAATTTTAGTCAGCTTCGGCTGACTTTGCTTATGAAATTTGAGCATATGGCATTCAGTACTTGAAAAAGAACCACTAGCTGTTTTTCTTTTGATAAAAAAATCTGGGTCCTTCTACTGAGACAGGCCGGAGCTTCCTACTGTCCTGAGAGAGTGGGTTTCTGTGGTTTGCCCTGCCTCCCCAAGCCCCAACCCACAAAGTTTCCCATTCTCTATTTATAGTTTTTGGGCCACACTTGCAGGTGCTCAGGGATAATTCCTGGCTAAGCATTCAGAAGTCACTCCTGGAAGACTTGGGGACCACACTGTGTTCCGAGGATCTATCCTTGTCTGACTGCAGAGTATCCTACTCCTGACCCCCCATTCTCCTCCGACACACTCTCACATCTGTCCAAAGATCCACTTCCTAAAGCGCTGGCAAGCAAAGGTGTCCTGATGAGCACTAAAAGCACTAGAGGAATGATTCCGTATGGACCATGCATCAGCTCTGAGATACCTAAGCACATTTTCAGCAATTATATCCATCAGTTCTAGCCGGGGTCTGACGAAAAAAATGATATTCTTGACATCCGCTGCTTGCAAGCGGCTTCCTTTGAGTGTGAACATTTTCTCCACCTCATGTTCCTAGGAAAGTACACATACAAATGGTGAACAGAGCCCCTAAAGCTTAGCAGCCGACCCAAACTCAGACATCACTGCAGGCAGCCAACCCGGGTTGGATTGCCGGCCTCCCACACCGTCCCCAAACACCACCAAGAGTCATTCCTGAGTGCAGAGCTAGGGGTAAGTCTGAACACTGCCAGGGGTGGCCCAAACAAAACAGACCAACAACAAAAACTCAGGTCTTCTAACACTCCCACTCCAAAGCACAGTAGACTTTAGTGTTGAGTCAGAGAATGCAGGGGTTATGGTACATGCCTGACACATGACTGCCAAATACGCCCCCTGGCACCACAACGGTCTCAAGCATTGCCATGTGCATCCCAAGAGAGGCCACTGGAGTGGCCTGGGATATCCCTGCCACCACAGCGCCAAGCCTCATCGAACTGCTAAGAATCACCACCAGGAGGTGCCCTGGGGCAGTGCTCAGGAGACCCGGGGCCAGGGAGATAGTACAGTGGGTAAGGTGCTTGCTTTGCATTCAGCTGACTCGGGGTTCTATCCCCAGCACCCCATACTGTCCACTGAGCACTGCCTGGAGTGATCCTAAGTGCAAAGCCAGTAGTAAGTCCTGAGCACTGCCTGGCACAAGCCCCCAAATAAAATTCAAAACCACTTTAGGATAAAAATTTAGATTCCCCAAAGCCAGGTGTATAAATTCAGGCTGAAGTAACCAATCCTGTGTCTGAAAAACTTTGAGCCACATGAAGTAACAATCAGAAGACATGCCGCTTCGTCAAGGAGAAGAGGGGGGTGCACACCCACCCTTGAAAGGTCCACTGAAGGCTCCTATGCTGACCGAGCCCCTGAGATGCTTGTGCCCATGTAGCCGAGCAAATGCGGTGCCCGCAGCTCTCCTTGAGATGGGGACTTTTGTGCTTTCCTTTCTAATGTTGGGATGTGTGTAGGGGCTCTCTCTGTCTTTGGAGAAGCCCACGTTCTCTCCTGAAATGTTACTCTCTCTCCGCTCGTCCTCTTCCTAAAGGTCACCAAATAAAATGATTTTTTATTTCAAATAAATAAACAAAAGGTCCACAGAAGGTAAAACATTTACCACTCATAACAGCGTCAGTGATTCTAAAAACCAGACAGCTCTGCACACCAGTTACTCCAGAAGTGGAACACCATATTACTCTTGCTAGAGTCCAGAATGACAGTTTCAAAAAAATAATAATAACCAAAACCTTTTTACCTTTAGAAGTGAGTACTGTGCAATCAAGTCAAACGGTCCTGTGAGATACTCATCCCAAACTATTGCCTGCGGGAGGGAGAAGCATCCCATTCTTTTAGTAAAAGCGATTTCAGTAACGGCCAATAGCAAACAACAGTCATTTGCAAACTCTGGACAAACAAAACTTGCAGTTAGCAATAGCTGACCACACTCATATTCCGTGGCCTGAAGAAAAACAGTGTCAGGGCAAGGGGTGCTCCTGGCCACGGAAGCACATTCACTGTCATCCACAAAGAGTGTGTATGCAGTGTCCTGGGGTCAGACTGGGGTCATGAACCCCGTGGGTGAACTGCCAAGGAAACCGTTCAACCCAGCATGTAACAGGCGTCATATAATCCAGCGTCTATCAAATGAAAACCTCTCGTGTAGGTATCCCATAGGTATCTTAATTCTGAGAGAGTATTTGGAAAGCTGGGACAGTGTCAGGTGTCCCTGAGAGAGTCAGGCCTCCAGCTGACCTTCGCCTCTACCTAGGCGAGGATGGTGTCACTGGGGGCCAGGACGAATGCCAAGCGGCCTGTGAGCATTTCGCCTGTGCGACACCAGGGTCCTTTTTCCTCATTTGGCGTAACTGAATGCGCGAACCGTGGAGGAACAGGCAGCTGGGAGAAGTGGTACCCAGGGTAGCATGCAGCGCCACCCCGCACATGGGGACAGCGGGGAGTGCCTGGACGCGGGGCTGGGCTCCTCCTGCTGAGACTAACTGGAGTCCCCCCTGTTTTCCTTCCCAGAGCCAGGCCACAGGGGCGGGGAGCGCAACGCCCCCTCTCTCGGGGCTGCCGACACTGGGAGCACCACCGGACCCAGAGGCCGCTGCCCGCCCCGGCCCTCAGCTTGCTGCCCAGGCACATGTCCAGGAACTCGCGCAGCACGTTAAGGTTCACCCCACTGATGGCAAGTGCGCGGCCTTGGCGCCTCTCGGCCCCGCCGCCACGTGACACCGCGTCTCGTGAAAAGAGTGACATCACACCCCCTCATCTCCCTCCATCCCGCTAGGGCGCCGGGGGTGCCCCACCGAGCCAGGGCACAGGCCGCGGAGACTCAGCGCTCCCCGGGGGCTGTACAGACCCCCCAGACCCCCAGCAGAGCCGGGCACAGCGCTATCTCTGCTCCCTCCAAGGGACCTTCCCGGGAAGCTGGGGGCGGGGGGACGAGGGCGCCCTGGCGTCATCTCCCCTGCACTGCCAGCTGGCCTTGCGAGGGCATGTTCCCCGCCCCCCACCCCCTGCCCCGGCTCCTGGGAGCGGTCTCAGGGGGTCCTCGGGTTCCCCTGGCCGTCTCCAGGTCCTCCCCAGTGAGGGACCCACCGGCAGCCCCAGCAGGCAGATGAGCGGCTCGCGGCGCCTTCTGCTGTTCGCCGTGCGAACTGCACAGATGCCGGACCCTGACTGGCGCGGGGGTCCCGCTCACCCGCACCCAGCAGCGCCTCGCTCACGCCCGCGTCCCCGCGTCCCGGGGGTTCCCTGCCCTCCCCGCGGGGAACAGCCCGTGGCTCCGGAGCCGCAGGAGGGGGCGCTGCCCGCGCAGAGGTCCCTGGGGGGCCTCTGGCCGGATGCCCGAGCTCCGTGGCGCCAGGTGAGTTGGCGGGGCCGGAGCAGGGCCCGCGACTCCCGGCGGGCGACCCCCGGCGCCCGTCTCCCCGCGCGGGGCGGACCCCAGCCCCCGGCGCCCAGCGAGGCGCACCCCGAGGCCACGTGACCGTCTTTCCTGGGGGCAGCGGCCGGCGGGACACAGGGAGAGCAGAGTGCGCGAGTCCTGGGCCGCGGGCGCGGACCCCCGGCGCGGGGGTCTCAGTCCGGAGGCGTCTGTCCGCGGGGCCCGGGCGGCGGGGGCGGTGGCGGCAGGACTGGACGGCGGCCTCGGCGCCCGGCCCCTCGAGCGGGGCGGGGCGGGCGGGGGTCCCTGGCGTGCTGCACGAGGTCCAGGTCCAGCGGCGGCGTCGGGCTCAGGTTTCGGGCTCCGCATCTCCCTCGTCGGGGGGCGCCCGGCCCAGCGCGGTCTAGGAGATGGGGGTCAGCGGCGGCCCGGGCGGCCTGCACTTGCCGCAGGGGGCTCTCCCCGCTGCAGCGCCTCCGCCCCAGACTCACCACGCACCCCCTCGCCTGCTCGGGGGCGCCCTCCACTCCAGGTGGGAAAACCCCAAGCCCACTGAGCCTCCTAGGGCCCCCCTGCGAGGGACTGCTGGGTTCCCCTGGCCGTCGCCTGGTCCTGCCCAGTGAGGGACTGACCAGCAGCCCCGTGAGCGGCTCGCGGCGCCCTCTGCTGGCCGCCGTGCGAACTGCACAGGTGCCGGGCCCTGCCTGGCGCGGGGGTCCCGCCCACCCGCACCCAGCAGCGCCTCGCTCAGGCCGCGTCCCCGCGTCCCGGGGGTTCCCTGCCCGCCCCTCGGGGAACAGCCCCTGGCTGTGGAGCCGCAGGAGGGGGCGCTGCCCGCGCAGCGGTCCCTGGGGGGGGGCCTCCGGCCGGATGCCCGAGCTCCGTGGCGCCAGGTTGGTTGGCGGGGGCCGGAACAGGGCCTGCGACTCCTGGCGGGCGACCCCCAGCGCCCGTCTCCCCGCGCGGGGCGGATCCCAGCCCCTGGCGCCCAGCGAGGCGCACCCCGAGGCCACGTGACCGTCTTTACTGGGGGCGCGCGAGTCCTGGGGCGCGGGGGTCTGAGTCCGGAGGCGTCTGTCCGCGGGGCCGGGCGGCGGCGGCGGCAGGACTGGACAGCGGCCTAGGCGTCCGGCCCCTCGTGCGGGGTGGGGCGGGCGGGGGCCCCTGGCGTGCAGCTCCGGGTCCGGGTTCGACGGCGGCGTCAGGATCAGGCTTCGGGCTCCGAGACTCCCTCGTCGGGGGGGCGCCCGGCTCCGCGCGTTCTAGGAGATGGGGGTCAGCAGCGGCCCCGGTGGCCTGCATGTGCCCGCAGGGGGCTGTCCCAGCTGCAGCGCCCCCGCCCCAGACTCACCACGCACCCCCACGCCTGCTTGGGGGCGCCCTCCACTCCAGGAGGGAAAACCCCGAGCCCTCTGAACCTCCTAGGACCCGCCAGCCACGGACTGCTGGTCGCAGGCCCTGAGGGTCCTCACGGTCCCTGGGGCCTCGACTTCCCTTCCTGTGCCAGAAATCAACCCAGAGAGAGGCCAGTGTACAACTGCCCTAGAACCCACGCTCAACGGCTTCCAGGACTATTGCGGGGGGAGGGGCCCAGGCTTTGATGCTTGCAGATGTTTAGTGAAATTTTACTGACTGTGAGGGAGAAAAAGTTTGCCTGTGTGTACATGCCAGAAGCAGCGTATCATTGTGTCCATTTGAATTTAAAGAAACAAGTTAATAACTTTGGGAGATGGAGAACAGAAAGAAAAAAAAAGGACTTGTTGCACCCCCACCCTACCCCCCAAAAAAAGAATTCTTTGAAACACCTAATCCCAGGAAGAAGTGCTATTTCTTGAATAAATTATTACCAAGCAATGACAACAATTAATACACACACAAAAGGACGTGTGGGGGGGAGCACAGGGTGGGGACGGACATTCAGTCAAGACTGGGCAATACCACAGCCTGGAAAGGACATGAGAGGGGACAGAAGTGTGGCTCGTGGGATGCATATTGGGAGAGAGACAGAGGTGCGTGTGAAGTGGGGGATCTCATTAAAGTCTGGGGTCCAGGACAGCTGTGGATGTTCGTGTCCTACTCAGTAGTTCCAATCTGTGTGCCTTGGGGATGGAGGGAATGTGCACCCCTGGGAGAAGCCGGGAGGGCCACTGGGTATTCCCTCCAACCCACCTTGCGGCACTGGGTCATGCATGTTTAGATCACATGCACTGGGCCATAGCACCAGTGATGCAGGCAGGTGACACATTGAATGAGGCATAACTTACAGCAACAAGCCGAGTCTCCCTGGTCCCCAGGTGAGTGGGTGAACGAGGAGCATGTTCCGAGGGTCAGATGACTCCGAAAACTGACAGGAGGAATCGGAGACTGAGGCCCACCTTAGAAATGGCAGAATGTATGTCTCGTTAGTGAGACCCAAGATATCCGCACACACATTACAGACTTCTCATGGGTTTACGGCAAACGGGAATTCTCACAGAGATGAAAAGAGAAGTGTGTATTTCTCTCAGTGCCTGGCTCACACTTACACTACATATCATTAAATAGTAATCAAAGAATCTGGGACTAACAGAGATCTCCCGAATTCAACACCCAAGGGCTAGAAATACACCGGAAAGGGTGGACTTCTGTGCAGTTAAGCTATTACATGAGCAACAGCTCGCTAGGGAATAGGATCTTGTTTAGGTGGAAATAAGAGCGTTTTACTGGAAAGGAAATCTCTGGTACAACCCTGTGGGTCAGGAATCTTGACTTTCCTATGGCATGTGTTTGGGGCTGGGCTGGGGTCTATGCTTCACAGACAGGAGAGCTGAGTTGGTCCCCAGCACTGCATGGTCTCTGGAGGCAGGAATGACTGAAGAGCACTGTGTCCCCAGCAAAGCAAAACAAAACAAACTTATTTGGTAACTGATCCCACCATAAGATTATTTTAAGAGTTCCTTGCTCTAAATCTAACACATACTTAGAAAATCTGATTTTAAATGTTTATTCAAAGTGAAGGGGTTTAAGGAGGATGAGCAGAGTCTCCTGCCCCCGCGCCTGGCTGTCCTCGCTGGGGCCCCTTGGAGGGGAGCGGGTTGAGTTTCCCTCCCCACCCCGACCAGTGCTCCGGCAGCCAGAGCAAGACCTCCACAACCAGCCACCACCATGCTGAGACCACTCTCCACAGGCATGAAGGTACTGGCAGAGGAACAAAGGCATGCGTGTCCTGGGGCTGAGATCTCCATGTCTGCTCAGATTGGGGCTGAGCATCCTCCACTCAGATGCTCCATATTCCAGTAGGCAGGGGTTACACCCACCAACTGGCCCCCTTCTGCCCTGTAATCCCATCAATGGCCAAGACCCAGAGACTATAAAACCCAGCTCCCGGAAGCATCTTATTATCTCATTCTTTCGTTGGACAAACTGGCAGACTGCCGAATGTAACCTGCCCACATGGCAGAGTCTGGCAAACTTCCTGTGGCTTACCCAATATGCCAAATACCAGTAACAATGATGAGTCCCATTCTACTAACCCTGAAAGAGCCTTGAATATGGCCCTTTTTAAAAAATTCTCAGGTCTAGGACAAAGGAGACATTACTGGGGCCTGTTCGAGGCAATCGACGAACAACAGGATGGTTGTGATCGTGATTGTGAGCAGATTTCGATTTTTTGCGGGGGAAGCAGGTCATATTGAGAGATCTCAGGGGATCCTCCTGGTTGTGCACTCAGGAATTACTCCTGGCAGTGCTTGGGGGACCATATGGGATGCCAAGGATCGAACCCAAGTTGGCTGTGTGCAAGGCAAACGCTCTCCACGCTGGAATGTCGCTCCAGTCCCACATTCCCATTCTTTGGTCAGGACTATCCAACTAGACTGAGCCATCAGCTCTGAGGCAGGAGGGGAGGGCAGCTTCTTTGGCCTGTTCCTGACACAAGCCTGGAACATTGCACAATCACCTGGCAGCCTTTCCTCGAGTCGGCACGTGTGGCGACCCCTACATGGACACGGCCAAACAGACCCCGGCAGCTGCTCCTGCTGACCAGTCCTCACGGCTAATTCCTTTGGTCTCTTCTCAGCTCTGACTTCTACCGTGCAATCCACAAGTGGCTGGAGGACATCGGGCCTCTTTACCAATGCCCGAGTCACAAATACGTGGGCCCCTTGAAAGCCACACGCTTTAGATTTGGTGTCATGAGCAACAGCAGAGGGAGGAGAGCCGGAAGGGAGGTGTCCGGGGCCAGAAACCTTTCCCAAGCGATCACACTATCCAGATTCTTTCCTTACGACTTTCATAAGAATTAAATCTCAGTCATGATGCAAATGCCTTAAAGTGTTACTGGGCAACCTTTCAAAATGCAAAAAACAAGAACCAAATATTAGAAACTAAAAAAATATATGAAATTTATTATAACGTGGATAGAGTTTCTTTAGCCTTTCCATCAAAGACACACAGATAGAGCAAAGGAAGCAGGAGTGGGAGGAAAAAGAGAGGTTGAGGTAAGCACGACAGTGCGTGAGTGCGGAGACAGCCAGACATCACCAACCACAGTGAGCTCAGGACCGTGGAGGCTGCCTCCCGGCCCCGCAGAGTTCCTGACCAAAGCCCAAGCCTGACATTCTGGTTCTGGTACCTGTCCTTGGCCGTCAGGGAAGTGGGGTACGCCGAACAGGACCACCCCGCCCCTGTCTGCTCTGGGCTTTAGCAGTGGTCGGAGCAGGGCAGGACTGGCCCTGCCTTCCGCAACTGGACCCGTTTTCAACCTGTCTGAAAACCTAACTTGGAGACAAGCTCCCGAAAGAAACGCTGACTTTCACAAAGTGCAGAGACACACCTTGGGCACACATCGCATGCAGCTAAGCTGGAGATAACTACAGTCTGGGGAAAACCCGCAGCAAACCCAGGGGCTGGGTGAGTGTAGGCGACGTCCTCGCTCAGAGGCAGCAGTTCTGCGCCTCCATGTGGGAGCCCAGGATGGAGAGAGCCTCCGCCATCAGGACTGCACGCCAACAAGGCCCTTGGGGGCAGGCAGCGGTTTCTGCATGAACCCAGGGAAACTGGACCTAAACCCTTCTAGGCTTTCAACCTGAGAGCAGAGCAAATTCCTTTTAGCACTTTATGTACCATCACACTCAGACATACATCTGAATCCTTTACAATCTCTACCTGGCGATGAAGATCCTGGGATTAGCTACAATTGAGTTGTCTTCAGATTTCTGAATCAGACAGAACTTGCCATGATTAACGAGAAGAAACAGTTCAATATTTGTTTTAAAATTTTTTAATAGTTTAAAAGGTAAAGGCCCTCCCGTTGATCGTCGATTTGCTCGAGCGGACCCAGTAACGTCTCCATTGGAGACTTTGTTGTTACTGTGTTTGGCATATCAAATACTCTCGGTAGCTTGCCGGGCTCTCCGAGAGGGG